GAGCCACAGCCTCCCTGCACAGCCGGTCCTCACCGCTTCCCGTCCAGCGTGGTATGTGCTGTGGGCCGCGCCTGTGCGCTTGGCGTCCTTTCCTAATCCCGGATGGGATTTTTAAAGAAGCACGGGCATTCCACTCTTGACAGCGGCAGCCCTCGTTCACGGGAAACCGGCCCTGGAGGACGTATCTCTGGGTCCGTTGGACGGAGATGCGAACAGCCCACGGGTCTTGGGCTCAGTGCTGGGGAGGCAGTCCCTGGAATGGAGTTTGGATCCTCTCTCTTCTGGGGGGGGGGCGGGGGAGGAGAGTGCATAGTACAAGTACTCATTCAGGTAGGAGCATTGAGAATCGTCCGTGGGAAAGAAGTGCGTGTGGTGGAAATCGCTTGTGGAGCTTCCCTGGTAGGTGAATCAGTAAACTTCCTGGAACACCCACCCCCTCCCCACCCCCACCCCAAGCTACATCAGACTGGGTTTCTGTTACTTGTCACCGAGAGTCCTGGCTGACAAGCTGTACACATCTGCCCAGGAAGCAGTGTGTCATGTGGAACCTAGAGTGGCCTAAAGCAGAGAGGAGTGGTCGCCCCAGGCTGGCGGCAGGGCTGGGCTGGGGGCCTGGGGGGCTGGGTGCTCTGGGGCACTAGGAAATTCTTGCGGGGAGTGGGGGGTGACGGAAACGTTCTTTGGGGGAGGATGCAAGCATTCCACATACTGATTTGGTGAGGTCGCGAGCATACCTACCTGTGTCAAAGATCCTCGCCTATACCTGAAACCGGTTGTTTGTATTGTATGTAAATTAGACTACAATTAATCACAAATTTTTTTTTTTTTTAGAAAATCTGCCTGAGTAGGTGAGTCTTCTCCCGAATTGCCAGGAAACTTGACGCCAGCATTTCAGACTCACTGGAGCCGACTTTTCCATGAGTTTTCATTCCGTGTACTGTGCCCTGTTGTCTCCAGCCTCCACTGGCTTCAGATACACGAGTTCTGTGCTTGCATTCGGAGTTGCCCGATTCGGGGTTTGGGGGGGTGATCTCTGCAATGTCTTCGTAGCTCCCTGGTCTTGTCACCAGCGTGTTGAAGGGCACATTGCCTTGGGCTGGCCTTCTTCCGTTCTGGGGAGAGGCTGGACGGTAAGTGGACCCATCCCTTCATCCCACCTTCTAGATGGATTCCGTGGCTCCTGGGGAAGACGGAGCGTCTTGCTGGAGGGTTCTAGACCAAGAAGTGCATGTGTGAAAGGATCTCAGGCTTCAGAATTCTGGCCCCAAATAGAAAACTCAATTATCTCACAACCACAGTTGGCAGGGGATTGGGGAAAGCGAGGCCGATGCCAGAGAGGCATTCTGTTTGCTCTTACTGAGCCGGGACATGAAGACAGGGAGAGGCCTCAGCTCTCAGGCTGTGTGCTGTGCTGTGGGCCTAACACGCGTCCCCTGCCCGTCCCTGCCCGCTTCAGCCGCCGGCAGCCCGAGCCTAGGCTGTCCCCTCTTTGGTCTCACGTGGGGACTGTGGGCTCCTACGAGGCCAGTCTGGGTTGTCCTTGGGCTGTGATGGGGCTGTGCTGTCTGCTCCCCGTGGCATCCCTGGGGCTCCAACTGCCGGTGCTTTGCTGGTGGGAACACAAAGGCCAGCGGCCTGGGTTCCAAGGCAAGCAGGCGGCCACCAGAACGTTTGGACTGTGACTGGAGCTCCACACTGGGGGCGACCAGGCTGTGCCCCGGAGCCCAGCTGTGCAGATTAAATGAGCTTTGCAGGTGGAGCTTTTAGCCCAGGGCCCACTGCACACAGTAGGTCCTCTGCAAATGGCAGTCCATGCCCAAGTCCCCGGGGCTTGGGATTGGTTCTTTCCTCATCCCTCCTTCCTGGCCACCTGCTCCCTCCCGGCCACCTAGCCCCTACCACCGGTGGTGGTGGCAAGTTGTGCTTAGTAACAGCTGGAGCGGCAGGGAGACAAGTGTTTCTTCCTTGTGTGGCTACCTAGGAGCTTGGTAGGGATGGCGATACCCACCGCCTGAATTCGGCTGACCTGCAGTGGTCAGGGGAGGACAGCCAGACCCCTTGCTCCAGAGAGTTCCAGGGTGGATATCTGTGATGCTCAGGGCCCTCTGCTTCCTGCCTTTCCCAGACACCCAGAAAGAAGGAGGCTGGGGGTGGGCCCAGCTGAGCTGCCTTTGGTGGGGGACAGCAGAGGCACCTCTGCCTGCCCCTGCAGCCTGCTCCCTGGGCCCTTTAATAACTCAGTACCCAAGGAGGGAGGAGAAAGTGCCCTTCCCTTCTGCTCTGCTCCTCCATTAGCACAAATAGGGTTTGGTCTGGGGTGTGGACAGGATGTGCAGGCTGTCCCCATGGGGGTGGGGACTGGATGGGGAGGAGAAGCCTTGCTCCCAAGAAAGACTGTAGGGATCCACATCTGAGAAGGCTCCAGAGGCTTGACAGGACTGATCCTGGAGTTCACCCCCCACCCTCCCAGTCCTACTGCCCACTAAGCATGGGCAGATGCGTGTTCATAGGGGGGCCCAGCCCTTTCCTGACCTCCAGGCCCTGCAGTGAGTGAGGGCTGCCTGCTCTCCCGCCCCCCCCCCCCCCCCCCGCTGGGCTGGGGGTCTGAGCTGCTGCAGCTGGACCCAGGTAGGGAGTCCCCTTCAGGCTTCTGGGGGTGGTGGGTGGGTAGCTCCTGACAGTGGTTCAGGGCTAGAGGCCTGGGGTGGGAGCTCCTGAGGAAGAGGAACCCCCAGGGACTAGGATTCACTGGGTCCTGAGGCGTAGGTTCCCCAGAGGCCCCCTTGGCTCCTTTGGCCCCCTTCAGGACTGGAAGGCATTTCTATTGCAATGGAGGCCTGCTGGTAGAAGCTTTTCCCGTGGACGGGTCAAACGGGTCCCGCCCTTCGCATGTGTCCTCAGGACCCAACCTGGTTTCTCTTGAGTCCCCAGAAGTGTCAGAGATGAGGCTTCCAAATCTGCTTTTCCGGGATTCTTGGGCTGGCTTGCCGGGGGGGGGGGCCGGGGGCGGGCCAGGGGTGGGTGGAGTGTGGGAGAACGGGGAGGGTGCACCCCAGGGCTGGGAATGGGAGAGGCAGGCGCACTGACCTCCACCATCTGAAGCTCCTCTGCCTCCAGACACCTGGGGTCCTCTCTGCAGAGCAGTGACCTTGATGGAGGAGCAGCTGGGACTGTTGGAAAGGGGAGGCCAGGAGGGACTAGTCCGGCCACCTGGGGGACTGGTCACCAAGAAATGCACTGGGGGGCAGCCCACACCAGGATGGTCCTGCAGCCCTTGCTCTGGGATGACCAGGGTAAGGCAGAGCAAGTCCAGGGTCTATGGGTGGAGTGCCAGCTGCCAGGCGGGCCAGCAGGAGAGCCTAGAGGTACCGCCGCTCCCTGGATGGGCTAGCAGTTGGTTCCGTTAGCCACCTGCCCACTCCCAGCCGTCTCCCTCCCCTCTCACTGCTTTCTACAGACAGGGGCCTGCTCCCTGCCTGGGCCACGGGTGCCTCTGCCCTGCTCTCTCCTTGGGCCCATGTAGTGAGCAGGCTCCCCCAGAGCTTCCCCGCAACGGGGCTGGGATCCCAGGCCGGATACCTGGAGCCCAAGAAGGGCCTTTTCAGGGACTGGCTGGAGGCAGAGGGGCAGTCAGGGAGCCTCTGGCCCGGCCCTAGTTGAGCTGTCTCCAGAGGGGCTTCAGCCTATTGCTGGGCAATGGGGAGGTGCCAGGCTTAGGGAAGCCAGCCCCTGCCCCTGCCTCAGGGCGGGGGGACAGAGAGGGGCATCCTGGACAGGTAGCAGTAGGAGAAGCAGCAGTCCCACCCAGGGGGCCTCTGTGTGGACACACTGTGTTCCTCACAGCAGGACCTGTATTAAGCAGCATAAGGCCTGGTTCTGAGTAGGCATGATGAAAACTGTTTCCAAGGGGAGCTGGGGGCCCTGAATGGGTGAGAAAGGGCATAGGCTTATCCAACAGGACAACGTGGCTGACCAGAGCTCCATGAGGCAGAGGGGTGGATACCCTACCAGGAGAGGGAACACTGCAGAGGTATAGACGGACCAGCCGGGAGAGGGAGCACCCCAGAGGTGTAGATGGATCAGCCAGGATCAGCCAGGAGAGGAGCACAAATGCTGGGGTACAGAGCAGATTGGGTGGGTGGGGCATAGCATGGAAAGCCTGCCATCTGGGCTGCTCGTCGCTGCAGGGCGCCTCACTGTGGAGCAGGTGCAGCCAGGACAGAAGGCAGGAAGCCTTGCTCAGTGCACGATATAAAACGTTTATTGATATACATTTATTGTCTTTCGTAAAACTTGCATTGGCTACACGGGGCCACTGTGCTTGGAGGTGGGCTGGGGTGGCCAGGTAGAGCCATGCCCACTCTCGGGTGGGGGCTGGAGCCCAGAGACTCCTGGACAGTGGGCCAAGTTTCGAGGACCAGGCGCACAGCAGCGCGAACACACTCTGTGCTCCGGGAGGCTGCCCAGGGGCTGGCCGGCATGGAGTCAGAGAAGAGAGTGACCTGCTCCAGCTGGCGGAGGCCCCTTCCTGTCCAGCTGCTTGCCATGACCGTAAACTTCCCCATTAAAATCACCAAAGGATTTGGGCAGGGACGTTGGGTGCAGAAAGACGGAACAACAAGGCAGGTTAGCCAGAACCCTCTTCCAGATAGCACCGATGTGTTCAGGTTGGCTCGCCAATACTGCCTCGAGGCGGTAGAACGGAGAGAACAGGTACCCTGATGGGGGTGAAGCTGCTGCCCCAAGGGGCGGTGGTGCTGGCTGCGTCATTTTCAAGGAGGGCTGATTGAAAGGGGCAGGAGGTGGACGGGGTTGGGTGATCCCTCCCTCTTCTCCTTTTGACCAGCCTGGGAGGAGGAGGAACCCCACCCCCTGGGGCCACTTCCGAACCATGGACCTCTGGCCACAGAGGAGAATGGCTGGGGGAGCCTGGCCGGGCCAGGGGGCCTGTGTGTAGGTGGCTGCTCCGTCTCCCGGCCGGCCACTCCTAGAGCCTCCAGCCCACGGAGAAGGAAGCGTGAGGGGCGGGAAGCAGACTTTCCTCCTTGCACTTGGGCACCGGGGCAGCTGCCCAGCTCCTGTCCTGCAGCAGAGGGTCTCTGGAGGCCACAGCCCCTGCCACCCTCCAGGTGCTGGCCTCTCAGGAGGCGTTCCCTGAGGGGCACTGCATCTCCATGGTGACCGTGTTGGGCGTGCTGCTCCCGGCCTCCCCCAGCTCGGCGCCGTCTCGCAGGGCCCGCTGGAAGACCACCCTGAGAGGCTCCCACAGCCGCTGTGACTTGTCCCTTCCGGCCAGGAAGTAGACGACGGGCTTGGCGCTGCTGTGGATGCAGATGCATAGGTCGGTGACGTACTCAGGGAAGGGGGCTGGGATCTGGAAGACCCAAAAGAGGAACCAGTCGATCCCTAAGTAGATGGAGGACACGAGGAAAACAGAGACCATGGCCAGGATGACGTGGTTGAGCTTGGCAGAGCGCTGGCGCCGCCGGGCCCGGCATTCCACGTGCAGGATGAGCACCAGGCAGGGCAGCACCATGAGTGGGCAGAAGATAAGGAAAAGCAGGATGCCCAGGAAGGCGTCCATGGGCCTGCAGGCCCCACCAGAGGCCCGGTGGGCCAGGAACACACAGAAGTAGTTGTGGATGCTGGTGACCAGGAGCGACAAGGTCCAGAGCAGGGCGCACACCACAGCCGACAGGCGCTTGGGCCGACGGCGCCAGTACCAGACAGGGCAGATGACCGACAGGCAGCGCTCCGAGCTGACGGCGGGCAGGAGGCTCACGCCGGCAACAAACGTGCAGAGTCCCACGATCCTGGACACGGCGCGGACGTAGTCAGCGAATGTGCCCAGGAAGCCGCCCGTGTTCAGGATGGAGAACACAGCCTTGCTGAAGAGGTAGCCGATGTCGGCGCCGGCCAGGTGCAGGAAGTAGACAGAGAAGGGGCTCCTCTTGATGGAGAAGCCGAAAAACCAGAGGACCAGCCCGTTGCCCACCAGGCCGCACAGACAGAGGAGCAGGAAGATGTAGTTCATGACGGCGGGCGGTGGTAGCATGGTGATCTGCTCAATGGTCAGGAAGCCACGGCTGTAGAGCTCCGGGGCCTCACTCACGTCGGGACACGTCTGTGCAGGTGCAGAGGGGAGACACTTGTGATGCGGGCTGGGCCCCCCCGCCCCCAAACCTGCACCCGTGTCCAGGCTGGTCACAGGCTGGTAGAGTCCCTGGCTCTGGAACAATGAACTGGCTGTAACTAGAGCAGAAGACACCCTTGCCCCCACCTAGTGCCACGACTCTGTGTCCCCGAGCCTGCAGCTAGCGGCCTAGAGGAGTGACGGCGAAAACAGTCCCTGATAAAGGCCCGGGACTGCCCACCTGTCAGAACAGACTCTGGTCAAGAGGTGTCCGTGTCCTGAACGATCCGGAACAACCGAGGAACCTTTCCAGATTGAAGGAGAATGGAGAGCCGTGGCCAATAAATGCCAGGCTGTATCCTAGATTCTAGAGTGGCCCTAAGGGTTGCTGTGAAGGATATTAGCGGGGTGGTGGGGGAAACGTGCATCCGGACTGGGTATTCCCGTACTGCACCAATGTTAGATTTTCTGAGTAGGAAGATGCGTTGCTGCCCTGCACTGGAAGTCCTTGTTCTTAGAGGGCCCAGGCTATTTGGGGGCAAAAGGGCTTGGTGTCTGCAGTTTACTTTCCAACGGTTCCGGGAAAGAGTATCATGAGACGCATAGAGAGAGCCCAGGGAGCAAAGCCTGCCAGCTGGTGAAGGACACGCACATCTGCACTGCGCTGTCCTTGTGAGGTTTCTGTGCATTTGCCATTTTTCACACCAAAACGTGAAAATATTTATTTAAAAAATAGAATAAAGTAATTGATTGGAAAAAGTGGACCCTGGCCCTAACTGCAGTGGGAGGCTGTCCCATAGCGGGATCAGAGAGACCTGGGGACTCAGAGGTGGTCCCTTGCAGGGCCAGGGTGACCCTGAGTCTCTGGGTCATGAGGGATCTGGATGTGGCCCAGGGCCCCCCTGGGGAGGCGGAGACTCGGGGCAGCTCTGGGGAAGCACTCTGATACTTGAACAATCTATCTGGCTGACCGAGTGCACCAGGCTGAGTATCTTGCCTGTAAATTCTGGCCTGGGGATAAATGCGTGAAGGTGGGCCAGGTGCAAGAAACGGGGTGGGAGGGTGCAAACTGGAGAGCACCTATCCTGAGTAAAGGGGGTGGCTGCTCTGCTCGAGCTGCTGGGTGCTGGGGGGCGGGGGGGGCGGGCAGTTGAAACGGGACCGTGGGCTGAGTGGCCCGTCATCCTTTCCCCCCTCCCCAGAGAAGCCAGAACCATAGATTGTTATGTGAACTACCCTGATCTTTAAATGTTCGCATTTAAAAAACATTGTGTGGGCCAAACATAACACATCTACGAGCTGGATTCATTCTCAGGCTGTCATTTTGACCTCCCATTCCAAGCCACAAGGCTGCCCAGAACACTGTCACTCCCCTCCCTCAGCCTGGCAGACATCACTAGTCCATCCCAGCACTCCTTCCCACAAGAGCCTGAACCTGACACGCCCCCCCCAAGATCCCCCCCAGCTTAAGGCTGGGTATCGATTCCCATTGCTCATGACTCTCCCCAAAACAAAACAAACGGCAAGGTTCTTGAGGCTGGAACATTCCGCCACCTTCCAGATGGCCCCCAGCTTTGCCAGATACCCCACAATGGTGGGGGGGGGCTTCTGTCAAGGGAGTCTGCAAGCAGAGACTGGAGGTATTGGCCCAACTTTGGGGAGACTCTGTGAGGTCAGGGCAAGCGCATTAGGGGGGTCCTATTCATCACCCATCATCTTCTAGGCACATTTATTGGCTCAGCATCTCTGTCTATCAACCCCCAAACCCCTTCGCTTGCTCTTTCCTCAGCCCTTCCTGTTGGTGGCTTTGACCACTCCAGGCCACGGAGCAGCGGTCCACAAGACCCAGTGCCCAGACAAGCCCACGCCGAGGGATCACTCAGAGCTCCTCACAGGCTGGAAAAAGTCTGCAATCCCCTCCTCGGAGTCAGAGCGGGAGGGCCGGGTGAGTCACGGGGCGTGTAGCTGCCGTTCCCCAGCCACATACCGCCTTGTAAAATGCCTGCTCTGGAGCCTGGCCCCCCTCCCTGGGCTCTGTCTTTTCTCTGGGGATTTCTGGAGACTTCCCCCCAGCCGGTCCCATCTCTGCCTCCCGTGGTTGCTGCCCACAGTGGTCACTAAGGGAGAAGGCCAAGGGCCGCAGGCCCCGGGCAAGAGTCCAGGCTCTTTTCCCACCTCTGGGCTCATCCCAGTCTAGTTACCGTGCTGTTGTGAGCCTCAGTTTCCTCAAATGTGGATGAGGTTGTACTAGATAAACTCAAAAGGTCCTTCCAGCTTGGAGGGGGTTTTGCCCGAGATTTAGAAGGGAACTCCAGAATTTTCGAGGAGCTCAGAGAAGTAGGGAGCTGGGAAGGGCAAAAGGGGTGGGTTGGCCTGACGCCTTGTCAGGGTCTTGGCCACAGCTGGTGCCTGAACATAAACTGTGACTACACAGCACAGTGTAGTCACGGGCAGTGGGGAGGCCCAGAGCCGGCGGTGTTCCCTGGGGCCCACGACATCAGGGCCTCCTGGCAGGGCCTGGCCGTGGGACATAGCTGACCACCCATCTCTGCAGGGGAGAGACGGAAGGAGGCTGCTCAAGGTGCTAACAGCTCGCAGGGTGTGCACGGGGACAGGATTCGAGGCTGATGAGGACACGGGCGATCCGGGGGGGCCCTGGAACCGGTGCCAGGCCGCATAGCCCAGAGGGTCTTCTGCCCACCTATGAGTCCTGAGACGGAGGATGGGCACGGGTGGCAGAGTGCAGGGGGAGGAGATGCTGGGCTGAGCCTGCCTCTCCCGCCACACCCGGCCCTGCTGTGCCCGGAGCCCCCTCTGCTGCCTGATGGCACTTGCCTTGCTCCGGCTGCCAGGATGGGCCTCCCAGGAACAGTTCCCCGCCATCTCCAGGCCTGGCGAGTCCAGATTCCTCCCGGCTCTGCTCACCGCGGGCAGGCCCCTGGCAAAGGCAGAAAGGGTCGCGTCAGGGCAGAGGTGTTCCCCACGCGCCCAGAAGGCCCCTCCACCTTCCAGATCCCTGCCCCTAGCCCCCACGGCTGTCCCCTTAGAGGAAAGGCAGGCAAGCAAGCAGCTGGCTCCCTCAGAGGCGGGGCTGTGCTGAGGGGGGCACAGGGACTGTCCTGCAGGGTCCGGACGCACTGCCCCCTCCTGGCTGGGCTCTGCATTCACCCCTTCATCACACGCAGCAGCTTGGTCCGGCCCTGTGCTTGCAACCCGCGAAGGTGTCGGGTCTTACCACAACAGGTGACTGCAAGGCGGGACAGCCTCGTCACCATCAGTATCACTGACACCACATCAACCCCTGGGACAATGACTCCCAGCCAGGAGCTGGACACTGTGTCAGCCAGCCAATGGCTATTGCCCCACTCGGTCCTCATTACCGGCTATGAGGCAGGAATCATCATTCCCCTATGACGGGGGCTTCAAGGCTCAGGGAGGTGCGGCCATCTGCCCAGGGTCCCCCGCGGTAACAGCTGCGCCCACTGCCGTTTGGGAGATTTGCGTATCATTGAGCCCAGAGGGGCTGCCGAGGAAGAGCAGCTGGAGGGAGCCGGCCAGGGGAGGGCGGTGCGGCGGCCCGGGCTCCAGGCCGGAGGACGGGCAAGCTGTACTCAGCCGGGACTGCGGGTCAGGAGGCCTGGAAGGGGTGACGGCCCGGGGAGGGGGCATCCCTGCCTGACGGACACTGCTCCATCCTGGCCAGGCAGAGCTCATTGGTCCACGTGCCCTGGGTCCCCTTGGAATGGACTCCTGTCCCCCAATCTGAGCCCTGCCCCAGCAGGCAAGCACCTAGCCCTCCCACTGTGTGGGCGGGGAAACTGAGGCCGAGCCGCAGGCCGCTGGCCCTGCCCTCCTCCTGGAGGGAATGCTGGGCTACACGGCTGGCCTCCCCCAGAATTCCTTCCCGGCCCGCCGATGTCGTGTGTCCCTCCGCACCCCCAGCCGGGGCGGGACCGGGGCGGGACCGAGGCAGGCACGCCCGTCATCGGGTGGGGAAGGGTGGCCAGCCGCGGCCTTGCTCCCCTCCCGGCCCAGCTGCCCAGAGCGTCCTTCGGGCGCACGCTTGCACAGCGTGGTGTGTGCGAGTGTGCGTGTGTGCCTGGCGTGTGGGTCCCAGCGCGGCATGCGGTGACAGCAGGGCACCATTGGGCCCCAGGTGGCTGTCCTCGGGTGGGAGCCCTTGTGCTCCGGGGGAAGCGGGCGAGTCCGCTGTGCGTGCCGTGTGTGCACGCAGAGAGCAGGTGCCGCTAAGTGTGTATCTAGAGCCCCACACCCCCTCCATCCATCCTCTTGACTCCAGCCGGGCCACTGGCCCCAGTGCCTCGGACAGGCCTTACCTGCTCGCTGGGGCTTGCCCACGCTGTCCCCTGCCTGCCAGCTACCGGCTTCTCTCCCATCCTTGCTGGTCCCCTTTGCTCCTCACTCACAATGCTCCCACTCCACTTGGTGGTCCTGGCTGCACACCACCCCTAGGCCTGGGCTCTTGGGGATGTCCTGACTGTGAGCCTTGCCCTTTCTCCTCAGCCAAGCTAGACCCCCCAATACCCAGATGCCCCCCAAGGGCAGCCAGCTGGGGCCAGGCACGAAGTAAGGGCCCCAGCTCACCTCTGCTGATTGCTTCCATGGGTGGGTGACCCTAGTGTGTCTCTGAGCTCTCCTCCTGCCTTGCCATGGGCAATCTGAAAGGCTCCTGCATGCATGCGGAGATCTAGAAGGCAAGGGAGCCCCGGATGGGCCCTGAGAAGACACGTGTGTGACATGTGTGCGAGCAGGGGTGAGTGTGTGCGCTCCTCGGGTTGGGATGTGGCTTCTGCTACAGCAGACCAAAAAAAAGCTGTCAGCTCCGTGCACTCCTGACCCTCCCTTCGAAGCACCAGGCCTCAAAGGGCTCCGGCCACCTGTCCGCCTCCTCTCCTTTCACCCCACCCGCCCACAACCCAGCCCCACACTCGCCGGTGGCAGGTGAGGCTGTGCTCCAGGAGGCCCAGGTGGGCGCAGACTGCAAGCCCCCAACCCGTCTTCCGGGCCCCTCTCCTCCCAGCTGTCACCGGCCCGCCCCCCACCGAGGGAGGCTGCATTTCCCGTTCCAGGGCCCGGGTGCCCTGCTCACAGCTCGGCTGGAAGAGGCTCATCTGGGGAGAGCGGGGCCGTCTGCAGGGGGCGGGGTGGGATGCAGCTGCTTCCCCTCCCGTGCCCGAGCTCAGCGCCGCTGCAAGCTAGACAAGTGGGCCACGCCGCTGGCGGGCCTGCGAACCCTGGGAGCCATCTCTCCGCACTCGGGACGCCGCCGGCTGCGTGTTACCTTCCGCCCTTCCAGAAGGCGGACTTGGATGGCTGGCACGGGTGGAGGTAGGGACAGAGGGGGTGCTCCCCCACCCCTGCCAGGAGACCAGAGCAGGAGTTGGCCGTGGAGGACAGTGTGGGGGTCAGGCACGGCCAGAATGCAGGGCCTGCCACCCAGGACGGGGCCTCTCAGAGCCACAGGAGTGTGCCCGAGTCCTCTCTGGAGCCCCGGGGTTCCTGCTCGGAGCCACGTGATTTCTGGGGGCCGAGTGCCCTGACAGCGCCCACCTCGTTCTCCTCCCCCTGCCTGGCCTTCTCCCTGCAGCCCTGCTTGCCAGAACGCCCTCCCCTGGGCCCCAGGGCCCCCATGCAGCTACCTGCAGCTGTCCCGACCTTCCGAGGTCTTGTTCGCGGAGCGCGACACCCGCCTCTGGCCGCGGATCCCCGGGGGCGGCAGGCCAGCACAGAGCACCGCCTGGAGCCTCGGCAAAGGCGAGCTCAGAGCCTCGGACAGCCCTTGCCTGCCTGCCTGCGGAGGAGATGGCTTGGGGAGCAGAACCCGCCTCAAACCCAACTCCAGGCCCAGAGGGAGGGGGAAGGGGAGGAGGAGGGGAGGAGGGGCTGAGCCAGAGCTGGGATGAAGCTTCGGGAAGGAATGCCCCGCTCAGGAGCCCCCCCCCACCCCACCCCCCAGCCTCACTGGGAGCTCATCTCCCTGCCTGGTGACGTCGTGTTGGCCGGAGCACCGCTGCTGGAGTCCAGCTGTGAATCTCCCTCCGTCCTGCAGCCACTCGGGGCTGCCCTGGAGAAAGCACTGGGCTGTGCACTTGCTTGGTTCCTTCCTTCTGCTCCCACTGGGCATTTCGGGGTGCGCAGGCCCGGGAGGGGCAAGTCCCCACCCGGTTGTTGAAATGTGTTCAGGGGCTGTTACAAAGAAGCCAGGACAAGGTGAGGGCTCCATGGAGGGGGAGTTGCAGGGACTTTTGAGAGGTAGGCTGAGCAGCAGGACAGCAGTGCCACCCAGGGGCCACCCCATCCCCCTTCCCACCTGGAATCTGCCCAGGGCCCCCTGCCGGCGTATGGAACCAGGAACCCCCTTTCCCCGGCCCTAATAGCAATCAGATGGCGCAAGTGGAAAATCACAGCGCTTGCCTGGGGGGTGTGCGGTTGGCGGGCTGTGCGTGCCTGCTCCGCGGGGGATGAGTCAGGCTTCCCCCCTACCCTGTGAGCCTTCTCAGGGTCCTGGGGCAGTGAGCCAAAGCCTGAAAGGGGATGCAAGAGCCCCAGGGGTGGCTGTGAGGAAGGGGGTGGTGAGGAGTGGCTTCCCAGGGAGCCACCCGGGAAGCCCCCCCCACCCCCCCACCTTGCGCCAACTTTCTCATGGCCTGGGGACCCCAAGGGAATTCCCCTCAGTGCTTTCCCTATGGGAGCAAATGGTGCCCAGATTGGGGGTGGGGTGGGCATCTGGAAGAGAACCCAGAAATAGAGCTTCCCTTGCACCTGCCCCAGGAGCTCCAGGCCCCTGGCCCCTGGAGGAACCCGATGTCCCTGCCCAAGTGCAAATCTCAGAGAGGATTTGCTCCCCGCAGGGTCCAGCTGGCCTTCTGGGGCTTTTGTTTTTAGGGAGAGTGTGAGGGGAGGGCTGTAGGATACTGAAGCTCATGGCCACGCCCAGGACTGAGAGAGAGGCTGGGCAGGGAGCAGGCAGCGGTTGGTGACCCTCCCCTCCTCTCCAGGGCAGGCCAGCTGGGGCCCAGCTGGGCTGCTTGTTTACATGGGGAGGCCAGGGGGAGGAGGGAGGCTGGGGGAGGCCGAATCCAGGCAAGTTCCAAGTGTAATTGCATTTGGACACTTAAAAGGAATCGTGTGAAGTGGGCAGCGGCTCTGAAGTCCACGCCTTATTTGGTCTGGAAATCTGTTTCTTTCAAAACTAATGAGAGGCGCTTGTGAATGGTAATGCCATCCTTGGCCTGTGTTTGCTGGGTCTCCTTGCCACCCAGCGTCCCTGCGTGGAGCAGCATGTCGGGGCTGTAGGGGACAGGCCTGGAGGCCAGTGAGAGAGCCCCAGCTGGGCTGGCGAAACCACGGCCTCCGGCTCCGCGTGTGGGCCTGGCAGCATTCACCCATTCCTGCCCGCCCTCCCGCCACGAGGTGTAGGACTCAGTGCCGAGGTGACACGGCCACAGTCCCTGCTCCCTCACATCCTGTTCTTGTGCTCTGACCCGCCACCACCCTGCCCCCTCCCCAGTAGAGAGGAGCTTTATTTTTAATTGTCACCTGCCATGGGCCCTGCCACACCCCACCCCACCCCACACCCCCTCCTGGGGGTGCAGGCCAGGACCCCCCCCTCTGCTGGGGTCCCTAGGGGGCAGGAGGCAGGTTCTGGCGGGCTAGCTCCTGACAGGGCCCTTCTGGGGTCCCCCATTGCCCTGCCGCTGTTGGATGAGGGCCGGGGTGTGGAACAGCCCTCCCGAGGCCCCTCCCGTGGCCCCTCTGACTCTGTGAGGTCGCACAGCCCCCGAGGGAGTGTTCTGAGGTATTTACTGAGCATATGGGCCCCCGGCTGGTGAACCAGACAGCGGAGGTTGGGCAGGGCGGCTCCGAATCAGGTGACCCAAACGCATGTAAAACCACACCTGGACAGGAGGCCAGGTA